CAAAGAAAAGAAATGAAGTTGATAGTGAATAGGATTTGGAAATATTCAAAACTGCAAATATGTAAGTGTGAATTACTAGCCCTCTAAAAAACTAGTTTTAGAAATTATCCAGAAAGCATTATACTGTTTTGATGTGACGTGTCCTTTTCTCCCAAAGAGTGACTAAATTTCAGTAGCAGTAAACTGAAAATTAGTTAAGATATAGCAGTAATACAATTAGTATTCATAGTGGCACTAGTTATGTTCTATAAAGTTGCCATGAATGCTGAATTAGCAAATACCAAACAATTGCTCCTGGGAAAAGTACAGTTAGGTTCCTGAGAGCCTTTGGTCATACCATTTTCATCACCTGATCAACACATAACCTTATTTTATGTGTGTTTCCTTTTAAAGACACCTTATTAATATTTATTATATTTATTATTGATTTTATATGCATTTTAAATAGTGAAATCACCAACAAAATTTCTTACTCCTTTGCACATGTCTGTGAGTGACTGCAGAAGCACTACTACAAGTAAATTTGGTGGTGGGAGGGTAACAAGTAAATTTTAGTGAGTAGGCAAATTTGCACATATACATTCTACAAATAATGAGCAACTGTATTTTGAGAGGCGTTTTTAGTTGCAAATGTGGATTAGCCACACATTTTGGATTATATTTATTTTACTGTTTCTCAACCTTAAAACTCTGTTATTCTATATATATTTGTATCTTGGAAAATTTAGACACTAAAACAAATTATAAAACTAAAGCAAAATGCATTTCCATAATCATAATAAGACAAAAGGTTTAGACTAGACAGATTTTTAAAAGCACTGGAATTCATTACAATATATTCTTTAGAATAGTCAAATTTTTACCTGAAAAATTAATTATTAGGGTTTAAGTGAATTACGTGGATAAAAACTGTCACACACAAATAGTCTATGTACACACAAAAACTAGTTAAACAATATAACAAGAAAACATTCTCTTTATGATAGCAATAAAAAAAATATATATATATATATATTTTAAATTTTATTATTTCATTTGGAGAGAGAGAGTGTGTGAGCTGGGGGTGGGGCACAAGGAGAGGGAGAGAGAGAATCCTAAGCAGACTCTGCACCAAGCACAGAGCCAGACTTGGGGCTCAGTCCCACAACCCCGAGATCATGACCTGAACCGAAACCAGGAGTCAGACACTTAACCTCCTGAGTCACCCAGGCACCCCGGACATAAAAATATTTTTAAACAAAACTTAAAAATAGAATTACCAAAAATCTACAAGAATTATATGAAGCAAAAGAAGATTTGAATAAATTGAAAGATAAGGCAGCAGGCCTTAACGGCCAATAGCAGATTGGCTATCAAGCCATCAGGTTAATGAATTCAAATAGAAATTCCATATCCTAAAATTAATGTGGAAAAATAAATGTTAAAAACATCCAGGAAATATTTGAAAAAGAAAATATTAATGATAGAGTAGTAACTTTTACCTATTATTAAAACATACTGTAAAGGTTTAATTAAACAACATGATACTAGAATGTGATAGGCAGGCATATCTGTCCATTATAGAAATATGTAATAAATTCCTAATATATCTGGATTACTTTTCTATTTCTTCGTGCATACATAATTCTAAGAATCATGGACATATCATAAAGTGTAAAACTATTTAGCTATGGCTTAAAAATAAGAACACAAAGCAGTTAGTACTTTATGCTGTCATTCTTTGGTGAAATTGGATTCCTTTCTGGGCGTTAAGTAACTGTTGTCCACAGGCCTTTTGTGGACATTTGAAGTCGGTGCACAAAGATGTATTTTAGAATATAGGACTATATAATTTGTTCTTTATTCATGAATTATCAATACATATATAATGGTTTCAGCTACTGTGCTAAGCTCTAGAGGTACAGTAGTAAGTTACCACCTCTTTCCTAAATAGGCTCATAGGTCATAAGGGAGACTTGAGTTATACAAGTAACTATTATTCAATACAGTAAGTATTGTATTAGCTTTATGAGGTTAAAAGAAATAACAGTTCTTTCTGCCTGAAAATTGGCACCACAAGAAAGAAGTGCTTCACAGGCAAACACATTATGTGGGTCTCAAAAGCCTTTGAAAAATAAGTAGAATTTTGCCAAGAAGAAAAGGAAAAGAGAAATCACTCAAAACAGAGGAGAAAATACTTTTGAACACACTCAGGCATGGAAAAACACCGAGTATGCAAGGAACTCTTGATGGTCCTTTGAGGCAAGAGTACAGGATCTGAAGAAGGGCAACATATCTGGAAACATAGACTGAGGACAAATTGTGAAGAATCTTGAATACCGTGCTGAGGGATTTGGTTGCTCTTCTTTAGGTAAAAAACAAACCATCACAAGTTTCTCACAAAAGGGACATATAAAAAAACATAAAAAACTAAATTAGAAGGAATTCTCTGAACCATCTAGCTTAATATCTGGTTCTACCCTGTGGGCCCCAGAACCTATAAGAGTCAGGCAGTCTACCTTTCAACTGCTTATATACCTGAAGGCCCTCTGTAACTCAAGGCAAAACATGAAGAAGACAAAAAGATTTGTCGACAGTGACTGAAAGCATTCTTTAAGACAGTACTTCTCAAATCTGGATGCACACTGGAATCATCAGGGGAACTTTAAAAAATGCTCATGGCTGGGTCTCACCCCTATTGATTCAGATTCAGTTGTATGGGAAGCAGTCTGGGCACTGAGAATTTTTCAAAGCTTGCCAGGCGATTCTAATATACATTCAAGTTTGGGAACTCCTGCACTCAACCAATAACTTATTGTTTCTACAATTCTGGAAGTTATTTTTCCCAAATTTTAAGGTATTTGAAATTTGGATACATCTTATAACCCTTATATGCATTTCATTTGAAGTCCCTTTCTTCTTCCCTCTAAAATGCTCCTGTTAAATTTATCTGTACATCGTATAACCGATGGTATCTTCGAAAGGAGATGTACTGTATACAATATGATAACTTACAAACAACAAAGTATAAAATATATACAGGAGCTGGCTTGCTGTTCGTTTCTTTGCTTGTCATTCTGCTCAGCATCCTCTTCTTGCAATGAACTAGTACCCATGCTGTTTTGCCTTTGGATGTCTATCTCTTGTTTTAGACGACTTATTCCTACAAGCCTGCTCAGTATGGACTCTCTAATTTTGAGAGTCTTTAATCATTTTCCACTGGTTTCTACATAAGATATATCTTTCCTCCAATATGTTCAAAAAATGCTGGCTGATCGAAACCTTCCGCGCTAACCTTAAGACACTCTTTTTGTATTCCTCTTTTGTTGTCATTCCCTTTTAGTTTCACTCTGGTGGCTGTGATAGGTTTAAAATCCTTTTGGCTAAAAGAAATGCTTTCCAATTTGGAGTCATTGCTGAAAACAGATCTCTCATTCTTACAGTGCTTATTTTTCTCTCCGTCTCTGTCTCTGTGTCTCTTGCCCCCTCCCTCCCACCTTTCTCCTAAATATCCTCCCCCCACCAAACCACAGTGCATATTCTCAACAACCAAAATCTCAGAAATAGCTCAGAGGTTTACTGTGAAAGATGAAATAATGGACAAACTGAAGGTGGACTTTTAAAGTGAGAAATGATGAGCACTATGAGAATCACAAGTGCTCCAAGAACATTCAGTGCCAATGAGAGAGAGAGAAAACAAGTCTGAGAGACGGCTCAGGGTTGCCGTTAGGATTGGCAACTGAGTGAATTTGCAATCTTTTCTGGATATTGCTTGTCTTAGTTTTTTATCATTGTCCCCACTGTAATGTAATGGGCATACATTACATTGAATCTTGCTTTTCTTATTCACTCTTCTTTCCCTACTGACAAGCTCATTTTCTTGTTCATAGTAGGTGTTAATTAAATATTTTCCAAATAGCTTAATTAATGTGTGGGAAGAGGAGTAAGGGAGAGAGAATGAAGTGTCAAATATGTGATTTTTAGTATGATCCTAAAGTATGGTCATATGTTTAGTGACAAACACTAACCAATAATCATGTTCACCAGGGCCATCTTGCTTAATTAAATATTTGGGGGAAAAAGCCTACTTATTTTATTTTAGTGATGACAATCTTTGCATTAATCATTAATGTGATATTGCTGCAGAAATGACTATATTAGATTATATTTCTAGAAATCTCTGTTCAGTTCAAAGAAGAGAAGCCAATAAAAAAAGCTGGTAATGAATGATTAAAAAAAAAAAAGAAGATAGTGATTCCATGGTACTGGGTTATTTATTTACTGATGTGAGAGTGCATCAGCAAATTAAAGTGTATTCCAAAGATGGCAACCAAAACAGAGACTTTGTGGTTTGAGGAGTGGTTCAGTTGATTGTAAAAGATAGATAAACACAAAAGTATAACACAGAAAGAGATTCAAGGGACTGGATTTTAGACCTAATCTAACTGTCCTATTCCTTGGCCATGGACGAGTCCGTTCTTTTTTAGTCCTAGTTACCTTTCTATAAACAAAGGGGAAAGTCTTAGTGACCCTCTAAGCTTCTTTACCAGCTCTTTTTTTTTTTTTTAAATTGCAATATTACATGAACATGACAATTATCTTCAAATAATAAAAAGCTAGTTATATGTAAAATGATACCAGTTTAGTTAGGTTTGTTTTAGAAGGTAGCATTACCCCTAACAGGATTTACAGAAGGAGATTTTAGTTCAACCTAAGGATAATTTTTTAACCATTACATTAATGCAATAAAAAAAAAGTTTTCTTGTATGAAGTAGTGATGCTTCATGCAGATATCTAGGGAAATTTTTCATTAAGTTAGAAAGTGAACTTGGTAATACCTTCCAACTATAGTATACTCTAATTTTCCTGTCTAAGGCATGACCTCAGGCCCAGTGTTTGAGCAAGCTTGTGTGCCAGTATATTTGAATTGAATAAATGGTTTTCCTTTATCATAAAGTAAGGAGGGTGGGAAGCATGGAGCACCAAAACTTCGTCTCTTTGATTCGCTCTATAACGTTCAGCAGGTCCAAGGTCAACTGCCGCCATTAATGATTCCCGTGTTCCCTCCTGATCAACGGACACTGGCTGCAGCTGCTCAGCAAGGGTTCCTCCTTCCTCCAGGCTTCAGCTATAAGGCTGGATGTAGTAAGTACCATTGATTTTCCATTTGGGAGTGGGTGGAGGGCATGGCTTTAAGTCAGGCAATTTAATATTCCTGCCACACCAAGAAATGAGATCACCCATATAGCATTTTTATTTTAAAGAGGAAACACAGAGAAAGTATAGAAAAGGATTTATGTTGGTATTTAAAAGAACTTGGGTTATTTCTATGCTTCTGAAGCCAATATTTGCCCTTTATATTTCAGTTTCATAACTTCCATTTCCAGTTTATTTTTATAATATGAATATAATTTTCAGGTTCAGTTTGTCTTTGTGAAAGTAAGATAGGAATATGCTTTTCAATTGCTTTCCATTGCCTTTTAAGATAAACTCAAGTTTCGGGCACCTGGGTGGCTCAGTTGCTTAGGCGACTGCCTGCAGCTCAGGTCATGATCCCAGGGTCCTGGGATCAAGCCCCACGTCCTGCTCCCTGCTCAGCAGGGAGTCTGCTTCTCCTTCTGACCCTCTCTCTTCTCATACTCTCTCTCTCACTCTCTCAAATAAATAAATAAAAATCTTAAAAAAAAAATAAACTCAAGTTTCCTAAGGTGAATTAGTTGGCCTTTCATTATCTTTATCCTCCCTAATTTCTCAGTAGTCTTCTTTTAGTTCTTAAACCAAACCATACTCTTTCTTGACTTTGGACTTACACTGTCAATGTTTTTTCTCCTCAATATTCTGAACGCCTTCCAACTCAGATCAGAGAGAACTTGCCCAACCTAGTTAGATCCCTTTCCCCTAGTTCCTTTGGATCCTGTGTATTTTCTCTTTTATTTTAATTGTAAGTTCTGTGAGGGCAGGGGCTGATTCTGTCTTATTCATTGTTCTATCTAAACTTTTAGTACAACATTCCATTACCTGTTGAATGAATGAATGAATGAATGAATGACCACCTCATTACAAACACTACGAGGATATTTTTACACTAAGTGAGAAGTTAGACTAAGATAATTGTCTATATAGCTTTATTAAATTTAGATGCCTGTGATTTATGACTTCTTTTTTACCAAAATTGAAATTGCATACTTTTAGTGTGGGAAACAGTCTAATACTTCACTTTCTAAAATGTAAGGAGCCAAAATGCCAACTATAATCTGTTAAGTAAAAATCATGGCAAATTGCAAAGAAAGACTAGACTGTTAAGCAACATATCTTCTAGAACCTTATTACCACGGCCATAAAAAATACAGAGAAGAGAAGTTTATTGAAATATTTTCATTGATAAAAGTAGAGCATAATTGAAAACAATTAATGAAATATCATCATCTTTTAGCTATTCAGGTAGAATATTATTTTGTAAAATCCAGTATATTTTGGTTCATTTATATGTTAATATATTGCCCCATTAACATTTTGCTATGCTTCAGTACATACTGCATCTGAGAAACTCTGTCCAACATTCCTAGAAATCAGATCTAAGCTTCCTGCTAAATGATGTTTTGAATTTTCACATCTTAACATTTATTCCCAGTCTTTGAATTTTTGCTTTTTTTAAAAAAAAGATTTTAGTTATTTATTTGACAGAGAGAGACACAGAGAGAGAGGGAACACCAGCAGGGGGAGGGTCAGAGGGAGAAGCAGGCTTCCTGCCGATTGGGGAGCCCTGCAGAGCCTGATGCAGGACTCGATCCCAGGACCCTTGGATCATGACCTGAGCCGAAGGCAGACGCTTAATGACTGAGCCACCCAGGCGCCCCTGAACCTTTCTTTATATAATATTGAAGAAATGGGATATCGTTTTTTAAATATACAAAGCCATTTGAGAGGAGTAGATTGCAACCACGAAGTCTAGATAAAAGTGAACTGAACTCAGGACTATAAAAATTCACACTTGTATGGTATTTTGCCCTTTGCAGTTTTTACACTGTTTATGCACATCTTTCTCTCGACTTCAATTTCATATGTTTTAAGACAGTGTTCTCACTCTGGATCCTGAATTTGTTCATTTCATATTATTTCCACATCATTCTATCTTTGTAGATTAATTCATCCAGAAACACCAACGTATTTTTACAATTAAGGGCTATATTTATATTCTAAATATTTAAATTATAAGAATAATTTAAATTCTAAATACAGAATTTTAAACTCTATTGCTACACTAAATTCTGCGTTTTTAATCATAAAATATTTTTTGTTTTGTTTTGTTTCCATTTTCCTAAGGAATTACTGTTCACATTAAACACATGTTGCCAATGTGTTTTTTGGTAACCTTGGTTACTAAAGTGAAAAAAAGACACTTTTAAAAATCATCAGTTGCCTCAGACTGCACCTGCAATATATACATATAGACTAGTTCTGTTTTCCAGAAAGAAATTTTTTTAAGCAACTGTAGAAATAAGTCCCATTAGCAAATATTGTGCTGAAGAGAAAACCATATTGAGTATGAACAATAGCGTAACTCTAGGCCTGGAAAAGGTCAAGAACACCTCTGCCTCACTCCCATTTGACAGAGTTGGCATACTACATTTGTTCGATGTTAATGTGATGTGGCATGGAGAAATTTTTCCCTTTCTAAAATTGTTCATATATTAACCATTTGATATTTGTACCTTTGGTGATTAAAATTATAAATAATACCATTTCTTTTGTAACCTTGGAAATAAAATAGAATAAAGCGTTTACAGCTGCTGGCAAGCTTGAAACTAGCATCATGCCAAACTCTAAAACTAAGAAGCCAGTAGCAAAAGAAAGTACCACCCTTGTTGACACTCTGGCACTTTGAGTCAGTTTGGATGGAATCAGTAAATAGTCCAGACTGTTCCTCCCTAATCACATTGCAGGAAAGAACAGAGACAGGGAAAGACACAAATCTTGCCATCTCTCCTTAGGGGGCCTTCTTATTATATTCCCTCCGTAACTGCCCAGCATATGTGACTTCTCTACTCGTCAGTTATTTTAATTTGAGTATTATTATGTAGTTCTCAATGAAAGAGGCTGGCCAACTCATCTTGATTTGAGTTTCAAGTAGATATGAAACATGTATTTATTGGTATCAAAAACTCAGATGCTTTTCATCAATCCATTCATAGAAGGTATTGATAATAAATTTTTCTGTTTAGACTACGTGATTTGATAAAATAAATAAAATAAAAGTCTCGAACTACACAAGAAAGTTAAAAAGTTCTCAACGGGAAAAAAGTAAAATAAAAACATAAGTTGGGGACCCCTGGGTGGCTCAGTCGGTGAAGCGGCCAACTCTTGATTTTGGCTCAGGTCACGATCTCAGGGTCCTGGGATTGAGCCCTGCATCAGGCGCCATATTCAGCAGGGAGTCTGCTTCAGGATTCTCTCTCTTTCCTTCTCACTCTGCCCCTCCCTGTGCTTGTTCATTCTCCCTCTCTAAAATAAATAAATAAATCTTTAAAAAAGAAAAAATGTTGGGGACCCTAACCATCATCGATTGGTGTAGCATCTTCTGTTTTCCAAAAAAGAAATTTTCCGTTGGACATAAAGATATTTTCTCTTTGAGAAATGTAATAGTAGAAATATGGCATTGAATGGGGACCTACAGAATGGAGGTGCTGGATTTTCTCTTAATTGCTAGAATGAATGTCAGTAAACAATAGAAAATAGCAGTACAGCTAAAGAATTCAGAACAAACTGTCTAGATAGAAAAGAAGCTTTAAAGAATGTTGTAGTCCACTCTTATCAATGAATATGTAGATAAATTCACAAATATTGTTGTAGTCAGAATCTCAGATTCTGTTCTGGCATTTGCTATTAATGAAATCAAGCATGAAACCATACTTCTTCATGGATCCATATCTAGTTATTCCTTTTCCTACTTATTTCTTAATATCTAAAAATACTTCCAAACTTCTAAGGAGGTAAAAATAATTGTGCATTATTAAATTGAATATTTTAATATATGTAATAACTTGATTGATAAAACACTGATTTGATCAATCAACTCCATTCACAGACCATTCCATTCAGGGGAAGAAATTAATGAAATAATCTGTATATTTAACTTGTCAGTTCTATGAAAACTGTCAACTAAGTTGCTATATGTAGACACACCCCAGTTTTTATATTGCATAATTAAAAATCCCAATTTTTTTTGAGAGAGAGAGAGCGCACATGCACATGTGCACATGCAAGTGGGGATGGGGGTGAGGGGTGGGGGGAGGAGGGAGAGAGAGACTCTTAAGCAGACTCCATGCTGAGCTGGACTCAGGGCTCTAGCTCAGGACCCTAAGATCATGACCTGAGCCGAAATCAAGAGTCAGACACTTAACCAACTGAGCCACCCAGGTGCCGCCAAAATCCCAATTTTAAATTATATTTGTAGGTACCTCTCATTTTAATCAGAACAATGTCATTAAATTTCTTGAAATAAATTTTAAAACTAAATAACTAAGCTTCTAATACTGAATAATAAAATAAATGGTGTACAAATGAATTGGTTCAAATACACTTTGGGTGGTTGAAGAGTCCAAGGAGATAGTCCCTTTGCCTCTGCTGGAAAATCTGACTGAAATCCTAACCTCTTGCTTAACCAAGACCTCCATCTTGTGAACCACAAAACTTGTTTCGGGTAGATAGTTTTGAAATAAAATGTACACATTTTTGCCTCCCACACGGTAGTTTCATGTTGGCAAGAAGACACCACTTTTGTGTTTGCTCATCATGGTAAAAAAACTAACAAAAATCAAAATCATTTTGAGTGTGTATGTTGGTTTTATCATATTAAACTTGAGAGAGACTTTTGAGATAAAGTTGTTGTAGGTCATAATGTGGTTAATACCGCTTTCACTGACTCCAATTTCCAGTTCTCTTTCCATAACACATGGCTTCCTCGCACCCCACCCTCAAGGTTAAACGCTGTTCCTTTAGAACATCTAGTTTATAGGCAGAAATGAGAGGACTAGGTGTTTCTCTTTTTACTAATAACTACAGTCCTCTGCCCCTCTCCTTTCTGTTTGGGTGTAAAATTTCTAGTTATATAATTCTAATAGCTGCCTTAGAAATTTTTGACAGGG